TTCTCTCTCTCTCTCTCTCTCTCTCTCTCTCTCTCTCTCTCTCTCTCTCTCTCTCTCTCTCTCTCCTATAACAGAAGAACCCCTGGGACACCAAACGATCTTTAACCCGTTGATGCCAGCCGGCCATTAATACGATATCCTCCTATCTTGTTCGCAGCTGCTGACTGGAGGTTTCCTGACAAGAAAGTCGTACCAGTTGCTATCAAAGTGGAAGGTTCAACTAGGTCAAACATGTATAATTTCTTTAATATAAAATTTGAAATTGACGAAGACAAGCTTGAGGTAAATATGCCCTTTTCTGCGCGCCCTCCATTTTTTCCTAAATCTACGCGCTTTCAAAAATAATCTTGAGCCATAGACTTGTAGCATTATAATATCCTAAACTGTGCACTATGACGTACTTCCGGTTCACTATAGAGCGTGCTATTTTTTCTTCTCTGTCATGAATGAGGATTAGCATAATATAATATACACACATGTATACATATGCCATTACATCAATAAATCTGTAAGGACCGAATAGATTAGTTCAGCTTTCGATTTTCCTCATGTATACATTAAATAATGATAAATAGCATTTGTACTGTGCGCTTCCATTTTCCTATAAAAAAAATGCTCAATGTGCATTACATTACATTTCTGTTTAGGAACTTTCCACCCAAAGAACAATATATTATTCTGCTACGGAGGTAATGCTGAATCCCTTCTGTTTTTCATCCCTCTTCTGCCGAACACTTTCAGACGCCTGCAGGAGTTTATTGTCAAAGACGAAAATCATACCCCTTCCCACCCTCGCCAAGCTACATTCGATTCTCAGCGGAAACAATCGACAATCTTAATTCGGTCACATACTACATTGAAGTAAGTCTGAAACTTGAAGATAGCCAGTTTCCCAACGATGGGAAAACTGCATAACAGATGCCCACCCTTTTTTCTTCTCTGTCTCTAGGTCTCTTTGTCTCTCTGGCTCTCTGTCTCAATAGCTCTGTCTCTGTCTCTGTCGCTCTCTCACTCTTCCCTTCTCCTCTTTCTCTTGTAACACATACGCATAAATTTACAACACACACGCGCACGCACGCACACACACACACACACACACACACACACA